TCAGGGTGATGCCCGGACTTTTCAGTCTTTCCTCTGCCACGAGGCAGAAGCCCGGAGAGACTCCTGCAAGCTCTGACTGGGAGTTTTCAGACATGCAAGAGTAGAAGGAATAAAGTATCTTTAAGGTAACTGAATGCCCTCTTCAAAGTCAGCTTTTAAGACAGCATGAAGTTATAAATCCGGAGCTTTTACCAGTTTTACTAATCATAGACTAAATAGAAAGGTAAGACTGCATACTGGCAGAGCCAGGAAGGCTGGATTTTTGCTGGAATATTTTTCCTGTATCCTACCCAGAAAGCAATACTTTCCAATCTGTTTTACAGCTTTCCTCATTCCTCCCGGCTCTCCCCCATGGTAAACGAACAGGGATCACAAACTATCGGCAGGAAAGCCGTGCCCTGAGCTAGTCTCTCCATTTTACCACCATCGAAAATAGCAGGCCCAGAGTACGGAGGGGCGAAGGCCGTCCGCTCTCCGTTTCCCCGGCCTCTCCAGCAGCACCGCCAACGCAGCGGCGTCTGCGCTCTCACCTTCCTCTTTGGCTACAGAATGCTTTGTTACCAGCTCGGAAATCAATTGGTTTTAATCTGCTACTGGATAAGAAAGTCTGGACTGAGAGCAAGGCGCCGGAGCCCGGGGGTGCCCTGTCTGGAAGGCTGCACTCCCCTGTCTGCCAGGGGAAGGCTCCTGCTCACCGATGAGGACAGGACTGAACATATTTGGCAATGAAGACTTCCATGTTCACGGTCCAGTTGAAGTTTATACGAGCTCTTCTGAAGAAACAACCAGGTTATGAAAAGGTTTGAGTCTCGAAAGGGCACTGCTGCTCGAAACGCACATGTCAGGAAGACCCTGCTCAGTAAGAGCCTCACTTCCCAGAGAGGCCCAAATCTGTGCACTAGGTATTCCTTCCTTACAGTGGGACACGGTGCACAATGATCTCTGAGCCAGAAAATCAAGTCAACAGACTAGTACGTAAAGCAGATAAAATAAGAATTTTATTTTACTAAATGCAAAATTGAACTTCGGGTTTTTTGTGTTTTTTTTTTTTTTTTTTTAAATGTCACTGCTGATCTGTCTCTACCTATTACAGTCAGAACCATTAAATACTTCCTCTATCTGACCAAATACTTTTCTTAACCCGGTATGTTAAGTTAGCTCCTGAATCCCTACTGAAGCACCTGAACAAGACCTGGACTGTCAATGGTAGTTAGCCTCACACATTCAACTGTGATCTGCAGATTTCAAAATCTTTGAGAACTGCTTAGTTACAGTCACGTATCCAGGCAGGGGCTTCTGGGCAAACTTTGGGAAATGCTGGTGGTCTGCAGAACATCAGCATACAACATGCAAGAACTCCTCACGGAGATGACATTAATTTCATAACTAAATAAAGCAGGTGCCCCTCTAAAATACATCACAAAACATAAAAATTTCCTCAGTGCTTTGCTCTCAGATGATATCTTTAACATCATATTTATCACTAGAAAAAACTAACTTTGCTGATAGCATCATTTGTGAAAATCCATTTTCAATTTAAATAACAGTATATTGGCAATAATTCTCAATTCAATTAGATCAAAGGCATTTCTCAAACAAATGAGCCCTTCATATTGATCAGAGAACAATCGAATTATCCCTGAAAACCTGCTTCTGAAGAACAGATACAATGCAAATACAATGAGAATAAGTTAAATATAAATGCTATAAATAACGAGCACAAAACCTACCAGAGCTTAGATTCTGCAAGCAAATTAGGCAGAAAGAAATAACAGAGATAGGTAGATAATTATTATAATTGAATTTACAATTTCCATTAGAAAGTTGGATAAATTTAGTACATGTTCATTTATATAATAAGCTACCATGAATATAGTAAGTAGGACATGTAATGCTCGTCGGGGCAACATTATTGAGAAATTAGCACGACAAAACGTGCCAATATGGAACTGCTGCAACTCCAAATCTAGCCATCACTCCCAGGGCCGATACACGCTCCCTTTTATTCCAGCACAGGAAGAAATTCAAGCACACTTTCTGTCTCCCTTTAATATCATACTCAGAAAAACATTATTAGGCTCATGAAGTTCATTTTTGCTACGCTTCCCCTTAGAAACTTTGAAATACAAAACAGAGTTTCCCTTGATTCTACATTTAATTAAGAACTGATTTGCAGAGTTCATGTTTATATTTCAGTGGTTAACTGTGAACCCGCCGAATCTTGAAGCATGCTTTTACTTTCTGACATAATGATAGAGACTGCTGGTTCACATTCAAACCTATTTTGGGCAGAATCCTTGACTCACGGGTACCTGAGGGGAAGCAGAAACCTTATGTAAAAGGCACATCTGCAACACAGAGGCAATCTGTTCCTTCTGCTTCAAACATGAAATTGCTCCCATTTGTTTGTTTTTTCCTGATACAGAAAAGAATCAGGTTTAAAAACATATGTCTCCGTTCTCTTAGAGATATAAAATACACTACACTACACATGTTCAGGATGCAATGAAAAACAAAGATGAAAAAAAAAAATTTTTTTTTCCACTCTGTGAAGAAGCAAAATAAGATATGAGATTTTTTTTTAATCAGAAAATACTACTAAAAAACCAACAACAAAAAAATCAAACAAACTTTGATTCCCAAAAATGGTCCTTGTGACACTGTAAGAAATTTCTTCCTGTGTAACTATTTTTCTTCGAAATTAAATGGTCATAAATATGACAAGCTATGGTGATCCAATCAAAAACACTTTAGTTTGAAGGACTAACGGATCTAAACAGGTCAGAAGCAGTAGAAATAAGACGTATATAGGCTATCAACTACATGGGACTGTGTGAATGCTTCCAAACACTGAGCTGTGAATTGTTCCTTCTCGCTTACACCATTGTTTTTAGCATGGAGCCAAGTCGCCTGACAAGCAGCAACTTGTTTATTTGATATCTGCAATGAAAAATAACACATAATGTGAGGTCTTGGAGGAATAACACTCCTATTCTGAAAGTGTGATAACGTGCCAGCAGAGAGAATCAACCCAACTCCACTAATTTGAACCAAATTATAGACAGTTTAAGCTAATTGGCAGTTTGACCCAGGGAGCAAAATTATGTGGAAAATACCGCAGGTAACCGATGTAAAATGACTGTCTGAACTCTGTTGTCATACTTCATCTATTAGAGTTTCGTTTGACTGTGTATCGCAGCCATTAGCTGCCCTTGCTGGAGTGTACTTTGATAAGAGAAAGTAATTTTAAAAGTCTTTCTGCAGAGGTGCCCTTTGTGTGCTCCTACCCGCCACGTGGTAACCATCCCCTCCTTGGGCAACGTGAAAGATCCTTCAAAACAGGCAACATCGGATTGCTTTGAATCAGATTCTCCCGATGGGTTGTTTGGCAGGACCCTGACCGCTTTCCCAACGGGGGAGCGTTCCCTGGAGGGATGCTCCCACGGGAGTGACGGCAGTGGATGAGGGGGAAAGCTGGACCTAGCAGAGGTCTGCATCCCTCACGCAGGGAGGACTTTGCTCCTGGTGCATGTGTTAAAGCACAGCTAATGCCATTTTCCCCCTGTTGAACCACATTTCTGCATGTGGAGGCTATTAGTATTTCAGACCGTGCTGGCTAACTCAATTTTCAAAAGCACTGATTTTCTGCTCTGGTCCGTACACAAACAGACCTCAAGAGTTATGAGCAATACCCTCAGAATTAGGTTTAGACTCCAGACCGAAACTGTATTTCTTACTGAAGGCCCGGGCCCTGCGAGAGCCATAAACAAATGCATTACCAATTGGCCAGAGCAAAACCCGCAGCTTGATCCCGTGCAACTCTGAGGGCAGCAACACGGCCCTTTCCGAAACAAAATCAAGGGTGCTGCTCAGGGACACATCACGGGCTCTGTATTTCCGGGCAGATACCAGAAGAACACATTTTTCACTCAAAATCCTGTAATAAGCAGTGGCAGTTCATTGATTTTGAGACTTATTAAAAAGTGACTGTGAGCTTTTTAGAAACTCTTTGTTCGGCAAGAGCTTAACCCACCAAACCCCAGCCCAGCCGAAGCCAGAGGTGGCGGAGACTTTGCACCGGAGGAAGGGCTTGCAACGTTTCCCATCTCCAGCAGGCAAAAATAATGATCAGATGGTAAATAAAAACCAATTTTTTTTTTTTTCTTTTGGGCACTTTATATACTTCTACGCATCATGGAAAGCCTTTGGTCAGAGAGTCTGTTTTTGTAAAAATCTGGAGTATCGGACAGAAGAGGAGATACTTATTTCCACTTGTGAGCAAATGCAGCCCACAAAGTCAACTTTCTAATTTAATATAACGGATTAATAATGCACTTTTTCCAATTCCACTTTTTCCAACATCTCCATGGGATAACGCTGCTAACTGTCCGCCCGTAAGCGAGCCAGCAGCAAGCCTTGAGCCACCAAACCAGTGGCGGGGGTCCTGGGGAGGCGGCACAACGATGCTCAGAGGCTTCCCCACCAGCCCCAGCTGGGGGGAATGGAGCCAGGGGGAATGGAGCCAGGGGGCTGCGTGAGGCACTTTGGGAAGGAAGGGGATTTCTCCTGAGAAATAACGTCTCCTAAGAATAAAGGAAAAATTGTGAACTCTGAAGCAGTGCTCCCTAATTACCTGCTGCCTCCGTAGTTTCAGCTGGGTTTCTAGCCTCAACTCTTTTTCTCTGTCCGCATGAGTACAGTACATTTGCTGAAGCCTTTAAGGTCATTTTTTGCTCACTGTGGCTAACCTAAGAGATCAGCACTGCAGCATATGCATCGCAACCCATGAAAAATACCCTGGATTTTTCCTTCTGTGTAAACACTTCCATTATATCCAAATAACCAGGCTGAGTGCTCCTCGTGCAACAGGATCCCAGAGTCTCAAAATAAGCACCGTCGCGGTCAGCCACGCGAGACCGTTCCAGTCCTCACATTACACACCACTTCAGCCTTTGCTATCCCTCCTTGCCAAGTTCTACGCCGCGTCGATCGAGATTTTCTCATCCAAACAATTATCTGATGCTTAGTAAGTGTTATAGCCGATATTATAAATGTAAGCGCTCTGTCTATTTTCTTTGAGTTTCCCTTCTCGCTGTGAATACTAAGCAGGCAGTTGATTTGTATGCAAGGGTATGGATGAACCCTTAAAAATGAGAAGTGCCTAAAGGAATCCCTTGATGTAATAATAATCCTTGTAGGAGTCGTAGACTTCTTTTTTTATGCTCCCATATATAATTAGGAACATTTTTAGCAGAAAAAATCATACCGTGCAAGAAAATATATGTAAGGGTATCACAGTTAACAAAGAATAAGAGGACAATCAGAAAATTATAATTAGATGATCACTTGGACAAAAGACTTAAGGTAGACCAAGTTAATAGTGGACTCCAAATAATCTAAGATTACCGTCTCAGACACTAAACGACACTATTGCCTGCAGTCTGAAGTATTTCTTGATGCATTTATCACTGCATGCTTTTCAATTCACTACAGCGCTTTTTTTGGTTTTCAAAACTGACTGCAAGACAACCAGAGTGAACCATGTAATAATTTCTCATACAAGGAGATACTTCCAGTTTAAAAGCTACTAAGATAATCTTGTCTGTAATATTTTTTACTGATTTTTCTTCACGGATACAAAGCATGTGTAATTTAAAAGATGATCAGTTTACTAGGCAGAGAATTATAAAGTTATGAAGCATGTAGCTATTTGACCCATGAACCACAAGGCATTAAAAACTGTGGAGTGGGATTTAATCACAGCAGTAATAAGAATTTACCCATCTGATCTTTCGTGCCCAGCACTACTCATTTTCTTTATGTTCTTTAACAGCTTCCTTCCTATAAGCCTGATGAAATAAATGTGCAGAGTGGTTATTGTAAGACTAGAACCCTTTCCTAAAATTCATTCTAAGACTATGTGACAAATCTGCTTTAGATCCATTTTTCAGACTTTGAAACTATATTCCCTTGCCTTGGAAAGTTTATAAAAATACAATGCTGAAGAAAATTTTTATTATATTCGATTGCATTTCTAAGGTATGCTTACATCTTGAGCTCCTTCAACACTCAATGTTGAACAATGAGGCCCATTTCTACAATTACAAAATATATTAAAAAAAAAAAATGAGTCTGAGCAGTGAAGACTGTAAAGAGAAAAAATATTAAGACCTGAATAAAACTTTGCAAAAAAACAAGGGAGCATATTGCTCCTATTTTTAGGAACTTCCATTTAGCGATGTGGAAACCCTCACGACAGCTACAGGAGCTGTGCAAGGTCACATCTTCAACAGCAACGAGACCACAGCTGGAACCTCAGTTGTCTTCAGGTCTGGGCTCTAACCATCATGGCATGGTGGCATTTGCAAGTAGTACAGTAAATATCTAGCATTTGTCCACTGAATGGAAACCCCTTCAAACAGCCTCGCGAGGAATGGAAAAAGAACCTGGCTATTGGGATTTTTATTCCTCACCACGTTTTATCATCTCACTGTTTAATGCTTTTTAGCTAAAAACTGAACTCATGTTAACAATCCTGAGCTACTACCATGACCTAAAACTTATAGTCTACCATACAAAATGAATTTACTATTCTGCAGCTCATAGAGGAAGGAGCTCAAGAAGTTTGAAACCTAATTTGAATTTCTCAGGTTTCTTCATGAAGATGGATTCCTTAGACAAAACTCCTGCCAGCCCTCCTGTACATTCTGTAATTTTCCACTATATTCAGGTCTATATTCAGGTCAAGCGAGAGCTGGCCCCCGAGAGAGAAGTCAGGGAAATGGGTAAGAGCTTAGTATACCTTGATGGAAATTAGAGGAAAAGGGTTTGCAAAAAAATTTAGTGAAAATATTTACTAAAACTGTCCAGCCATGAGGAAGAACTATGGAAGAGACGATAGGAATAGAGATTTTTTTCAATATATGCATATAAAGCATTGTGTTTTGAATAACACTACTCACATTCCTGAAGTTACTTCTATATCCTTTTTTTTTCCCTATTTAGCCTGAAAATACTAAATTCCTGCAACAACGTAATTACAATTTCAACTATGGAAAAAGCCAGACTTGTGTACTGCTGTGCACTGTGATAGTCTGTGTTAAACAAAACTATTTCCAGAGTTAAAACTAAATTCCTGCCTGACTCTTTCTCTGCTGAGATTATAAATGTTTTCTCTAACCAATACACTTACTGAAAAGCAAATTACTCAACAGAATTTCATTTGAATTATGAACTGGAAGATACCTCTGCAAACAAAAAAGAGTCGTTACCCCTGAGAATTTTTGTGCAAAATAACAGCTTGGCCAAAATTACACATGTCAAAGTCAAAGAAAAGAAAACCTCTTTAAACATATTTTTTTCTCTAAAAAGGAAATAAATGGTCCTTCTCAAAAGTGCTACTTCAAAGAAAAGGACCAAATTATTTTTAAAAGCTTCCAAGATACAGGAAACAAAGTTGAAAAAGTGTATTTTCTTCAGAAAGCTGAAAACCCTGTTGATGATGAAGAGTGTTTCTGAGCTCCTTCCCTCAAACGGGGCACGTGTGTTTGCCTCTAGGAAACAAGCAGTGATTGAATGCCGACAGAACCGAGCTCCAGAAAGAAAAGATGTCAGGTACGTGTTTTATTTCCTTTCCTGAGACAGGATTGAAAGGCTATTAAATCTAATTTGCTGCTGAGACTATATCCTGTCGGTTTAAGCTCCCTTACCAACACAGCTAACAACATTTTGCTTAGTCTTCTCCACCAGAATGAATCCAACCTCTCCTCAGCTCGGTCCCCGTGAGCAACGCTGTTCCCTCATACTCCAGATGCTTGTTTGCAACTGCAGAAATCTCTGGATTACATCTTGCTGTGGATTGCGCAAAGTAGAAAAGCAAAGAAAATTGCAGAAAATTATCATCTCTGGGACTCACCCTTTGATGAGCAGGCGGGGAGGTCGTCGGGCTGATCAAGTCTTGACTTTCCATAAGATTCCCATAATCGGCCATGCTTCCTTTGAGAGGCAGAGGAGGAGGAACGTCAGGGATGTCGGAGCTGGACATACCATTCAGCTCCAGATCTGTAAAAATCAATACTGAGTTAACTCTTTCAATAACTGGATCAAATCCAAAGATCCAGACTGCGCCAATTCTTATGGCATTGATACTGCGATAATGCTGCACATGTGATATCTTTGTCTGCTCTTCACTGCCTCTATAATTATCTGCAGCTCATCTAATGAAGGATTTTAAAGGAAAGTAGAGCAAATGAACCCACCCCCACATCGATGAGAAGTATGCACTGTGGAGTTGCATTGGCTAATTTTTAGGATACACTCAAAATACTTGAACAATCCCTTCTTTTTAATAGTAAATACTTTTTCCTTTAGATTTCACGCCAAAATATTCATAGCTTAGTAAACAGAATTTTCTAAGCTGTAAGCTCTGCATTTTCACCTTGTACATTAATACACAATAGAAGTTTTGGTAAGTGCACTAAGAAAATATAATCGAGGTAATATTTATTTGCTTTCCCGCAGTAAAATAAAAGCTTCTTGTTAATAAAATGCGCAAATGAAAGCCTATAATGACCTACATCTCTCAGAAACTTTCAAACTCCAGGTAGCTATAATAAATGAGCAGTCATTAGTTGTTGAGTAAATAAAATCACGCAAAAGAAAGTACAAAACATTTATTATTACTGTTTGCTGGGTAGAAAGTTCCCTTTTCTTAGCAGATAAATCCTAGCAGGTACGTGCTGTAAAGGCGAATAGCCTGAGGGACAATAAAGTTTATTGAGGCCTGAGTGATACATAGGTTTTTGTGTAGAAATCCACCCACGGTGTGTTTCAGGGTAATTCAGTCATTTTACCACAGGCAAAACCCACTGGGAGCTCTATGAGATAAGAAACTTAATTTATTTTTGATAAATTAGGGAAGTGTTTGCATTTAGGAAATGAAAAAAGGTTATTTTTATTTTACTGGTGTGATTTGTGAAACAAGTGGAAGACTTGTTTATGCAGATATTTTTATTGCAAGGTTCCTATCAATATCTTACAAAAAGCGTCCTTTTATTGCTCTCTAAAATGGACTCTCACTAACACAATTTAACTGTAAGGTGGCAGTATTGATTTGTCACTGAAAACTGTAATTTTACTTTTCATCCTTTCACTTGAACTTTCAACTACGCCAGGAAGAAGAAGATTTGCCATCCTGGGACTTCAAACTTTCAGTGGCTTCTTCTACATCAGACTGAAAAGCGTTGTTTGTCCTCCAGCACCTGAATTTCTCATCGCTTTTTCCATTGCTCCTGTTTTTCATCCTTCCTTTTCTATACGTACAGGATTTCTCCATTCCCCAAACGTTTATAATACTTTCCTTTAAATATCTCCATCAGAATCTACTTCTGCTAAGCTCATGTCATTAAAACATATAACTGAAAAACATTTGTAACTAAACACTGACACTGCGAATGAACTTCCCTGTTCATTTGCAGATCACTTCCCTGTTCATAGATAAACATTGGAAATTTAGTCTTACAGCCTTCTAGTAGCTGAATTTAACTGACCTGAACACTTCATCTTTGTATCTTATATGATATTACAGTATCTACTAACTTAATCTAAGCCATTACATGTAGACTAATAGGTGCTACCAAGAAGATGGTAAGACAAATTTTGTTAGGAGTTACACAAATCCTTTGTTTCTTTAAGGTTGGCATTTGGAAGATCCATGGAAAGGCAGGTGAGCAATGTTTTCACTAGAGCTGCAGAGGAAACAACGTCTGGAGGCAACTCTACTTTAAGGTCTGCAATAATCTGAACAACCTGGATGGTCACCAACTGTCCTGCCTGCAACTGTGTCCTCCTCTGCTTCTGTCCGTTTCCCTACGTTCCCCAGCTCCTGTTACAGCTCTAATTTTATGCAGCCCCCACTGTGTTCCTACAGCCTGTACATGGCACCTTCACAACCTCATCCTTTTCTAGGTCAGCAATAAATCCCTGTAAATGTGGACAGAGTATTTCCATCCACATGAATAGTTCATAATATACATTAACAACAGATTTGCATTCAGTCTGGCAAACTGTTTAGTAGAACAACAGTATTGTATAATGAAAAAAATTATTCGCCCTGACTAGCTAATCTTTCACACAGTTTAATGAAATCCAGGAGTCATCCACCCTACTGCAGAAAGAGGTATCGAACGCAAACCAGTAATTCTCAGTCATGTTTCAAGAAGATCTATTTGCTACAGATCTATTAATTTTCTCCTGCTTAATTCAGCTGAACTATACCTCACTAACTCAGGCACTATACAAATAATTACTTATAATTTCTGGTTTGCTATCATTATTCAAGGTGTCTCATCAGATTAGTATGCTCTGAATATTTTATTCCTTACCGGACACGTGCCACTGAGATTATCTTTGAGCTGGCAAGAGATCAGTTAGATGACTTTTTTTTCATCTTAACCTAATGATCAAATTTTACACTCCATTCTCCTGAACTGCCAGCTAACAAGCAAGCAGTATTGCTTAGCAACCCATTAACTGCTTTTAGCCAATTTGTGCACTGAAGTAACTTCTTTATCCTTGGAATTCCTAAAAAAAATTATCACTACAATTCCTCAAACGATTATGGACAAGTCCCATGGCTTTTGCAATAAGCTGAACCTATTTTACATTACACCCATAAATCTCTTGCATATAGACATAAGTATTCTCAGAAATACATGATAGCTTCAGATAATTTTTTAAAAAAGAGATCAAGTTAGTTTTAATAAAATGTACACAGGAAGAAATAATCCAATTCAAAGAGTATCTTTTGCAGGACTATACATACTCTACTTCCCCCTATTTCCAATTTTTAGCATACTGGTAGTTTTTGGCTATCAAAACTGCAATGAACGGAGAGAGTTCACCGTTATCAAAATACTTGTTTTGGGTGCCTGACTATGCAAAGGAAACATTGCATTGATTTGCACTTGCTTATCCCTTTTCCACATGTTTGCAACCAACAATTTCAGATCATTAAAACAAAGCCACATGCCTTTTAGAAGACAATTCTGTTGCTACAGATTTGTAGAATAAACACGTTCCTGGTCACAGGACATATATCTGCAATTGGCAACAAGAACTTTCCAAAACACTCATTATTTAAGGGAAAAGGTTTTAAGTATCAAAAAAAGTAAATAAAACAGTGACCTCGATAGAACAAGACTTTTTTCGTCAAACTGATCATCTATTCTCCTCTTTACTAACATTGACCTCTTGACTATTGTACTAGCATTCGGTTGCACGTATCAAAAGGATCTTTTTCTTTTTTTGTCACATGCTAGCAACTGAAAACTCTGAATAACAGTTTTTGGAAAATAGCACTGTAAAAGAAATAGGTGTGTATTACACCTAGTTTTGCAATAGGGTTTCCTGAAGACTGAAGCAAACAGACGGTATTTTACAGAAAAATGGAGTGATAGACGTCAATGTCAAACAAAAAATACATCAGAAAGACTGACTTTTTTCCCCCCTTCTGGCTTGTACTCACTACGCACTACGTAGCAAATAAAAGTTCTTTCAAGGTACAATTACATTAAAAGATGATTTTTTCAGTCTTTATGCTCCAAAATACCCTAAATCCAATATAGAATCAAGTACAACATTAATTTTCGACAGTAACTCTACACGTAAGTAATTGTTAATGATTACTTAAAAAGGAAAAGAAACTTTTTCAATGCAACAATTTTGCTTGCTTTTGTAAAATGTGGAAATAATTTTTGCTGGCAAATACAAGAGGCATGATGTTAAAAAGTAAATTCTTGTTCCTGCAAGCAATCCCATGGTGATGGCAAAAAGACTAACTCCAAGAACTCAAACCAATGTGTAATGCAATGCTCAGGAAACACATCTCCCCAGTAGAAGTTATTTTGCATAAAATTTGCTAGGAAAAGAAAATTTAGTTAAAATTAAAGACTTACTGGACTGTATGCTGAAAGAAAGTTTTGTCCGTGGAGTTATTGGGGGTGGCGTCACTTGGGAGCTGGGAGGTGATGGAGAGACAGAGAAACGTCTTTCACTTGAAATGACATTTATGACTTGGCTTTTTGGTCTCTGTGGTCTTAGTGGGCTGATCTGCACAAGGACAAAACCAGTGAGACATAAAGGAATACATACTGTTACTGAGCAGCAGACCTTGGGATTGCTACATTTTCCCCACTACCTCCTAAACAGTAACAGGGCAATGATAACATACCATACTTCTGATTTAATGCAGTATTTCACAGCTCCAAATGGTTTTCCCTTCTCCCCAGGAATCACAAGGAGACTTAATGCACACACCTTCCCATAGCCTGGCATATTTTTCTGAAGCAACGAGCCAATTCCCCAAACACTTCCTTAATAAGAGCTAAGAAAGTCTATATCCTTACACAAAATTATACAGCATTCAAAATCTCTTGCTTCTCACACGGCTCTACTTCCCTCTTAAAATTTATCTCTTCAATTGTTTGCATGGTGAAACCTCTTCTGCGGGAGACATCATATGTCCAGAAACACTTTCTTGATGGCGCCTGTTTGTGCTTATATTTAATTCACTGAAATATCCCTATTGTTTTGCTCTGGCTGCTTCATAGTCCATTTCAATTTTCCATCAGAAACCCTGAAATGATACTTGTAATCTGATGAGCAACTAATCCTTTGTTAAGGTGATTCCTTTTACTGAGTTTAATTCTGAGCTCTACTGTTTGTTACCTATCCACATATTTCTAGTAATTGCAGTGAAGAAAGGAATTTTTTATTTCCAGGAGATCACAGAAAATGGAGCAGCAACCTGACGTTAAGACGGAATAGCCATGGTACTGCATTAGGACAAAACAGAAAATGCCAGCAGCAATTCATACTTTCTGAAGAATTTTGTCATTTCACAATGTTTTTTTAAAAAGTGTGTTGTGAAGGAGAAATCTAAAATGAGGTATGAGTGCCTCCTTTTATTGTCAGAAAACAAACCCTAAAAGGGTTTGCATAAAAGGCTGTGTCTCTGAGACCCTTCTACAAGAAATGAATGACCATAAAGTATGTACCTTTTTTTGAAAGTTCATCGAGACCTCAGGGTAACCTTTCTGAAATTTGCCTGATACTAAAATTCAAGTGCTAAAGACTCCAAAGGTTTCTTCTTTCAAGATCTTTTAAAGCATATTTTTAGTAGAATGGATAAGCACAGTAATCACTTTCTCAGAGGCATATAATTATAAAAAATCAACTAAGGAAATACACTAATTGATTAGGAAAGCTGCAATGCCAGAATCAAGAGAAAAACCAACAACTAGACTCAAGTTCCCAAGTTAACCTGGTCTGTAGCTACTTACCTCAGATAAATTCTGTGATTGACAAGCTTGGTCCTTTTCTTAAAGCTTCATATAAATCACAGTTCTGCTAGGGAATATGAACTCTTTGGAGACCACTAATCCATAACGAACCCATTGCTAATTATTTTTGGTCTAACAAAAGCAGGATCAATAGTGAGTGACGTTAGATGCGACTAAATCAGTAAAATGTACAGCCTGTTATTCTGATTTCTTACACAAGCTTTCAAGTGGTCTGTTAACTACCTGACTTCAGTGTTAGGTTTGCTATCAGCTCATGGAATCAAAGAACTAACAATGAGAATTTATGTTAAAGAAGTTTATGTGATACTTAAAAGAAGATATAAATCTCTAGAAAACTATAAAGACATTACTGATCATCTTCACATACTAAAGTGCTTAATTTTTCTTCTGATAAGATCACAGTAGTACAAGATCGCTGTAATTAGGGCTTGGGTTTTGATCAGTCAATAAATTCATTATGAGTACAGTGAAATTTGGAAAAAGTATTTAAGCCATACAACTAGACAAAACGGCCTCCGAATGCTCCTTTTTAAAGAAAATGTAAAAGCTCCATGTTTTTTGCTGTAAAACCCCCAAATATTTTAGAAGTCAGAACTAAGAATCCATTAGAAGATTCACCAAATAACTGAAATCTTGTAATTGAGTTAGTGATGGTACAAGTGAGTTCTAAAATTCTCAACAGAAGGAATCCAGTAACTATAATACAAAATCCAGTAACTAATAGTAATTTATTACTAAAATCTCACTTTAAAAGCTCTTTAAATCTTTATTTTAATTTCCATTTCTAGTCAAATCTGGATTCCAACTTTTTTGGAAAAAAACAATCCTTAATTTTTCCCCCCTCCATTTCATCATCATCTTTTTTTAAGCTAGCAAACTTTCTGCTTCCAAGCTCCTAATGCAAGAGAAATCAAAATGCCTTTTTCTTCATAAAACACAGCAGTAACAGTGTTTTGGGAGCAATTTAAACTTAAAAAGGGAATTTGCACACAGTGCAGCCCACAAAAGTAGAACAATGGAAAAGCTGAATTTTTACCCACAAAAGATAACAATTTCCCTTTTATATCATTAATAGGGGACATATGTCTCCAGGGTGCAAAAATGTCAAGACAAGACAAATTTTATCTTTAAACTTCTTGTCATTATCTGTACAAAATTCCTAAAGACAGCAGTGGGAATTGTACAACCACTCTTGTAAACTAATCTCAAAAGTGTTTCCTCTATTTCACCTACAAGAGAAAATGAACCACACTAAACCAAGCATTAAAAATTGACTTGGTCATTTTGGAGCTCATCAAGTAGTTTGCAGATACTGAAAAGGGAGAGCTTTTCTCTCATCAGTAAATTCCGTTTCATATTATTGATCCGTGGATTTCAGGAAGCTCAAAGTAACGGTACGTAACTAATTCTGACATTTAATTTTCCTCCCTCTCTATAACCAGGGGAAAACTACTCATACCAGTCATCCACTGAAAGCTCTTGACTGGGAAGAGTGGAAAACTTGAGCTAAACCATGTTGGGCTTTGCTCATTTTTGTTCCTCAGATGACAAATGGGAATATGCCTTGAAGGGTTATCATGTCCTCCTTTCCAGCCAGCATTTGCATTTTTCCAGTCATAAGCAATCTTCTCCAATGTCCAAGACTTCTCAGAGATGACAGTGACCTTGCAGTGACATCAACCAGTTCTCCAGCATCCTTGGACGCCTCCCAACTGGTCTCATGGATTTGTGCAGGTCCAACTGACTGAGCTGCCCTGAAATACAACTTTCTTCTCCTGTGACTAATGCTCTTCTTCCACAAGCTCTGCTAGTCCGTTTGGGGATCTGGGAGATGCGAGTGCAAGCCTTCCCATTGCAGCGTTCAGGCTTAGTCAAAATACAACTGCTGCAATGTGCAGATTTGAATGCATTGCGTCAAAAAGACGAGACATATGGAAATCTATGCAAAATGCATTTGCTGTCTGAAAACACTCTAATGATGCTCACCTGACTGGCTTTGACAGGAGGAATCTCCATTTAAACAAACCAGGGCTGATCCAAAATTTACTGAAGTCAATGGAAAAAATCACTGGCTTCAAAGGAGTTGGGGTGAAAAGCCTGAGACGCACAAAAGGGATTTTATCTGAGTTTTTGCTGAGCTAATACTGGGCCCAAGGCCATAGCAGACAAAACAACTTCCAAGATGTCGGAAGACACAATTGAGAGATTAGCTCATCTCTGGATGGAAAAGAAGGAGCAAATCCAGAAAACAGAGGAACTATGGCTGAACATCTAAGTAATACTCCGCTACAAATACCAAACAGAAAGACCTAAAGGATCTGGTCATCACAGGTCAGTGAGAAACCGTTTCGAAAGTCCAATGTAAATGACACAGCCACCAACGAAAGACTCTGCTGAGTTAAAAGTTGGCCCTACAAGTACTTCTGCAAATCTTTAAAAGAACATTACATTTATTTCTGGAGGGCAAGTTTTAAACTATTGGCCTCAAAACAGGTGTCCAGGCAGAGATTTGGAGGTTACAGTTAGTTCACGCACTGCCTGCTCCAGCTGAAAATGGCCTTGCTTTCCATTTCTTAAGCTACCTAAGCCTTTAGAACAGTTTCAATGAATTAAATATATGCCAAGAAGAGAGGGCTTAAAGAGATATGCTCTGTAGTTAATATTCTTACACACATCCACCAGTGGAACTGCTTACAATTTTCTGCTCAAAATAGCCTTTCAAGAATACGTAATTGCCATGCACGAAATGACCTTGTAACATTTCTGCCAAAAAGTGTCTTGCGGTAGTCAGCTGAAATATGAGAAAACCCATCACGATCTATTGGGAACCATAAATTCAAGAGGCTGCTAAAATGGTAGCATTTATTTTACTTAGGATATACCATCTGTTCCTTTTATCAAACAGTCATATATAGCTTTTGGTAAGATTTTCATATGGGATACCATGATTTTTTTTACACTGAAAATAAAATCTGTATTTTTGATTCATAATCACATATATAACATCGTAGCGTATTCCCTTAGAGTTATTTTTGGTCTAAAAATAAACATTTTTATTTAAAAAGAAAAGAACACTGCTCAGAATTAGATAAAGCATTACTTGCTAATAAAGTTACCGTTTCTGAAAGGATCACTGCTTCAGACTGCTGCAGAGAAATATCAGTAGATTTAAATTCTTTATCAAATATCTCTTGATGCTTGCTGTTCCTTTTCTCCTTCTTCTTTTCTTTCTTATCTTTATCTAGGTCATCCTTGTCCAATTTATCTTGAGACCTAGAATGCATCTTTTTTGGCAGGAGCGGCTCCAGCACAAACCTAAAGAAAATTGTTGTTGCTTAGATCAATAAAATGCTATTTTCAAAACACCTAATATTCATTTACATATTTCCCAAAGTCTCACTTGAGTTAACGATGCTTTGCTAATCCAGGAAAACTCATTAGAGAGAAAAGGAGGGGGCAGAAGGTCATAACAGTCGTAATTGTCTTACAATAAAATTTACTGCAGAACTGCTGAAGAGCCAGTACCGCGTATTTCCCTGCTCTGTAGTAAATTTACTGGTTTACAGCTACACAAACTCCTGAGTTTCACTGTACGTGGTTTACATAAAAATGAGTTTCTAACTCAGCACTCCCACTGTATGTGCTGTGGCACCACGGCAGGCGTGCCAGCAGACATGGAATCCAGTGGAAATCAGCACGATAGCTGTGCAGGTAATTGTCCAATGCATTAAAGAAATGTCACCTCTACTTCCCCTGCGCCTTGGAGGCAGTCCATATGTGGCAGACCAATGGCTTTAAGGATTTCTTTAACAAATAGCCAAGTCCCCAAATTCCTCCTGGACTTTTTTTTTTTTTGATGGGGAAAGAGGATGTATTTATTCTCCAGAGAAGGAATAACAATTGAGAAGTTGTTTTGCAGAAGTGTAGTGATTTTCTGTTGAACATGCACAACATAAACCCTTGTAACTCATCAAAATCACAGTACCTTTTCACAGAAAAGCAAACAATATCACCCTTAATGCAAAGGAAACACCTATACATTGCACAAAAGCATGAAGTATAGAGGTTTAACCACAGACACAAGCACCATTCCTGTCTGTAGTAACACCCTGTGTGTGTACGTTTGGTTTTGCATGCATGCATGAGGTATATATCCATACGAGCGTGCACACATACTCACAGATCCACACCTCTGCTCACCTACAGCATGACCTGGTGAGGGGGAGCCAGGGGGCCTGAGCTTAGTTGTTCTGATATTACAGATAAAGTCAAGAATGACAAATCGGTCAGTTAACAATGAAGGGCAAGGCTAGTTTCCAAAAAGCAGATGTATTTTCCCACCTGGAATGCTTCAGGTGTGTGAATATAGGCAAGGCTGATATACTACTACCATCAGCTCTGCAATTTTTACAGTCCATGACTATTTTTTTTCTGTCTACAAAGGAAAAAATCTTGAGAGGTACAATAAACTTTTAAAGGAAAACTTCATTTTTTAAAGAGT